TCAGGTGTGTCCTCCCATGGACTCAGGTGTGTCCTCCCATGGACTCAGGTGTGTCCTCCCATGGATTCAGGTGTTCTCCCATGGATTCAGGTGTGTCCTCCTATGGATTCAGGTGTGTCCTCCCAAGCAGAACATCCCAATGTGCTCCATTTCACCTCGGAGTGTGTTTTGCACAGGATTGTGCATTGTCTGTGAGACTAATTACAGTGCTAATTGATAGTTGGTGGTGTCATTAGTCCTCACATTGGCGACATAATTTCCATTACACCAAATTCTGAGGTGCTTTTCCTTAATCTCAGCTCCCAGAGAGTAGGAGAACATTGGAATGGAGAGAACAAGCCCCAAGTGATTCCCTGGGGTGCTCCATCTCCAGCCCCTGCTGCTGTCCCTGCTGGGCATGGGGCTGGGGTAGCTGATTCCTGGTGGGTCTCTCTGCCAAGTGGATCTTGCAGTTTTGCTGCTAATTAGTTAACTTAATCTTGGGGTTTCGTGAATGAATTCGAGGGTTTAATTAATACTGAGGCAGCTTAAGTCTCATTTCTGTCTGGGTCACCAGTGGGAGAGCTGACACAGGAGAGGAGCTGGTGCTCCTGTGGGGGCTGAGATGGTGCTGGGGCAGAGTGACAGGGGAGAGGGAACTCCAAGAGAGCTGGAGAAGGACTTTGGAGTGCCAGGACAACAGGGAATGGCTTCAAACAGCTGGAGCGTGAAGATAGATGGGATATTGGGAAGAAATCCTTCCCTAGGAGGTGCTGAGGCTCTGGCACAGGTTGTCCAGAAAATCTGTGGCTGCTCCATCCCTGGGAGTGTTCCAGGCCAGGTTGGATGGGGCTTGGAGCAGCCTGAGCTAGTGGAGGGCACTGCTCTCTCCAGCACATACAGGATGGGGAATATAGAAGAATTTTGTGTTGCTCCATGGATGACTCACATGGCACTAGGAAGTTCAGTGGTTTCTTCTCCTCTTGAAACAGGTGGGAAGCATCATCTTCTTCAAGTGCCAGAAGGGTTACCTGCTGCAAGGCTCCACCACCAGGACCTGCCTGCCCAACCTGACCTGGAGTGGAGTTCAGCCCGACTGCGTCCGTGAGTGCTGGGGAGGGCAGGGAAACCTCTGCCCCAACCAGGGCTTTCTGCTCTGCTCCACTGTGCCAACTGCTGCCTCAGCAGAGCTGGGAATCTGGGGACAGCTCAGAGAAAAATGTATGCTTGAAGAGAAGATAGTAGATTTTAGGAAGGATTGGATATTGGAAAGGAATTCTTCCCTGTGAGGATGCTGAGGCACTGGCACAGAGAAGCTGTGGCTGTTCCATCCCTGGGAGTGTTCCAGGCCAGGTTGGATGGGGCTTGGAGCAACCTGAGCTGGTGGAAAGTGTCCCTACCCATGGGAGGGGGTGGGATGAGATGAGCTTTAAGTTCCTCCCAGCCCTTCAGTGATTCTGTGACTCTCTCCACCCTTCTATGATGGAAATGAGCTCACACATCCCTTCTCTCCTGCCTTTACTCCAACAGCCACTTGTGATTTCAGAGGAGATTTTATCCCCTTGCTCAGTTGCAGGTGAAATGTTGTTTGTGCTTGTGAAAGCACATCTGATGGCTGAACCCTGAGCTGCCCCCAGGGAGCAGGTTAACATTTAGCCAGGAGGGCTCTCCAGCTCAGCAAAGCTTCTCCTCCTCCCTATAATAACCTGTTGCTCTCTCTTCTAAGCTCTCCAACATCCTCCTGCTGGAGCAGGAGGAGTTTAATTTCATGTGTTTAAGTGCTGATATCCATGCTGACCTCTGTGTCAGAAGCATTAAGAAGCTTTTCCTCTCCCTTGTGAGGTGTTTTACTGGGGAGATGTTTTCCCACTAACAAGCTCTGTGGATGCTGACACATCCATGGTGACACTCTTTGGCCTTCCTGTGCCCAACTGGGTGATGTCCTTCATCCCTTTCCCTTGTGCCTTTCAGCTCACCACTGCAAGCAGCCAGAGACACCTTCCCATGCCAATGTGGGGGCTCTGGATTTGCCATCTCTGGGCTACACCTTGATTTACTCCTGCCAGAGTGGCTTCTATCTCACCGGAGGCTCTGAGCACAGGACCTGCAAAGCAGATGGGAGCTGGACAGGGAAACCTCCCATCTGCCTGGGTAAGAGCTCTGGGCAGTGGGACACTGGTTTGGGGGTGACTACAGCCCAAGAGAAACAGCTATTCCCTCAGATCCTCCCCAGCACACCAGAGCTGTGTGTTTGTCTTCTGGTTGTAGAGCCCATGGGCCTTGATGTCCTGCAAAGGCAATTTTCACTCTGCAGATACACCTGAGACTCAGTTCTGGGCCCAGAGTTTAAAGGGAGGAGGGAAGTGGCTTTGGCATCGTTTGGGCTTGATTTTTGCTCCCTTAAAATTTGGGAGGGATGGCAGAGTGTGGTTTTCAGTTCTTGAGAGCTGGAGCCAAGTGAAAGGTCTCTACCACCAGAAGATCCTCCAGAGTCACCTGAGGATCTTCTCACAGGTAGGTTGGGTCTAGAAGCATCTGCAGTAGACAGAGACTGTTCTATACCTCAGCCACCTTCTCCCTGCCTCAAAGTCTTAGATCAGGAACACATCCTGGTGCTCTAATCTTGAACCAGAACCGTGTGGCTCTCACGGAGTGTGGTAGCTCACTCTGGACACTTTGGGTTGGAGCGGATGGAAGGACAGAGGACAGTACATGGAGTCTTTGTGCTGGGCAGGATCCCAATCCCTGTGCACACAGAAGTGAGCAGTGTCCTCTGTGAGCACCACAAGTGTCTCAAGAGTGTCAGACACCTCAGCACTCACCAACTGTGCTTGTCCTCCCTCTCAGCCGACGTCCGGCCCAGCGGGAGACCAGTGGGCACCGCGCGGGACCCTCCGCTCGCCAAGCTCTCAGGTACCCTGGGGGCTCTGCTAGACCTACAGCTCAGCAACTCCATCCCTTCCCACCCCTCCTGAACCCAGATGGGCCTTGGAAGCTGCTGGATGGGAGCAACCCAAGTGTCTCATCCTGTCCTCACTGCCCTGGAGAACAGACAGGAGACCTAAGGGAGTTGAGGATCATCATTGTCCATCCCAGAACATCCTAGAGATCACTGTCCATCCCAGATCATCCCAAAGACTCACTGCCCATCCCAGAGCATCCCAAAGACTCACTGCCCATCCCTGAACATCCCAAAGACTCACTGCCTACCCCAGATCATCCCAAAGACTCAATCCCTCTGGGGTGTTGTATATTTGACCTCTTTATATGGGTTTTGTTGTCAAATGTGTCAAGTTGGCTAAAGCCTTGAGCAGCTTGGTCTAGTGGGGAGGTGTCCCTGCCCATGGGACTAGATGATCTGTAAAGTCCATTCCAACCTCTAAAATTCTATGATTCCCTGAATGATTTGAGGGTTGGTTGTTTTGTTTTTTTAAAGCTTTCATGGCATTTTTTTGTGATCACATCAAGCATCTTCAAGTCAACAGTTGGTTTGGTCTCCTCTCTTTGGCTTTGCACTCAGAGCACAGCGAGTGGGTGGGATTTGGAGATGGTTAATTCTATATCTGTGGGTTCAAAACAAGACAAGAAATTCTCCTCTCTTTTGGTTCCTGCACCCCAACTGTGGCTCCCAGTGCCTGCTGATGTGTTTGCAAGGAATTCCCTCTGGAAAGGCTCCTATGAGTACCTGGGGAAGAAACAACCTGCCATGCTCTCTGTCACCAGCTTCGACCCTGCCACCGGTAAAGTCAACGCCACCTTGATAGACCACAGTGGTGTGGAGCTCCAGGTGTCAGGTAGGGGACAGGACATCACCTCTTGTTGGGGTTTACACTTGACCCAAGGGGTATCTTGGCTGGGGAAGGGTTTGTCAGAGAGAACCATTGGGATCTAGAGTTGCCAAGTCCCTTCTTTTCCAGGCATTTACAAGAAGGAAGATGTGCACCTGCTCCTCCAGGTTTACCAGATCATGGGGCCAGTGGAGATCTTTGTCAACAAGTTCAAAAATGATAAATGGGCTCTGGATGGACATGTAAGTGCAGAGTCACCTCCACAGGACCCACCCACACCACTTTTCCACTGCTTCTCTCCCCCTGGAGCTGAGGGACAGCTCCCTTAGCTAGCAGCAGGATGTTCTCCTCCAGTGCTTCAAGCGGACGTGAGACACTTCTCCACCACGTGACATGTTACAAGAGAGTTCCTCATGCTCCTTTGAGCTGTGTGTTGCTTTTATTGCCTCCTGTGGTTTGAAATCTGTAGACACCACCAAAGGAGAAACCAACATGTCCATTCCATGTCAATGTTGTGTGTCTGTAAACATCAAGTTACAAGAGCTAATCTTCCCTTTGGAGTCCCTCACTCCACTGTGGTAGCTTCCCATGGCCTAAAAGTTCCACTGGAGCTTGGAAAGAAACATGTTATGTGACTGACCCATGGCCAGTTGGTGTCCAGAACCTTCACTGTCCCTCTGGAATCACCAATGTCTTCTCCAGCTCTTTGCAATCAAGATGTTCTTTGTTCACCTTCCGTCAGTTGTGAGAGTTCTCACAACGTGTTGGACAGTCAAACACCCTAAACCCACCATGATTTCCTGGGGAATTGAACCAAATCAGTGCTGTTCCTGAAGCTGGAAGGGGCTGGGTGTGAGATCCTAGGGAGGTGTTGACCTGAGCTCTCCTGTCCTTGCAGGTCTCCTCGGAGGCATCGAGCGGCACCTTCGTGTACCAAGGCTTCGTCAGAGGCAAAGGCTTCGGGCAGTTTGGCCTCCAGAGACTAGGTAAAATTCCTTGGATCAGTGCTGTTCCCCTGGATTCTGAAAGCTCCATGGGGATGGCAGTGGAGGTTTCCAAGCAGGGATTGTTTCTCTTGTCCCTGGCCTTGATTTTTCAGCCCTTCTGGGAGTTGTGCTAAGCCCAACCTCAGTGGGAGAGTGTGGGGAACAAACAACACGACAAGTGTTTAATTTGGGCACAAGGTGAGGCAGGAACAGGTGGTTGTTCACACACAGAAAGAGTTTGGAGCCACAAACAGCACCTGGGTATGTTTTTCTCCTTGTTGTTGCCAGATTTCTGCCAAGCCCAAGTCTCATTTCCACCACAGAAAACCCTCTCAGAAGTCTCAGAGGCACTCGAGAGCTTAAACCACCCAAGGCCTAAGCTCCTAAATGTCTCTTAAAATGTGCTTTGAGCTCTTTAATCTCTCAGGATTTGGGGGCATCTTTTCCCCTTTCTGGAGCATTAGGTGCTGATTATTGCAGCACATCAGTGTGTCCCTTAGCGCTCAACTTTAAGCATCCAAGTTGTAACATTTCAGCAAGAGAAATCTATTGACATATCCCCTTTTAATTGCAACTATAAATAAATGATGATGTCTAAGCTAGGCTGGATCTCCAGACCATCCTTCACACAGCTCAGCAGCTCTTAGAGCAGCATTGACAACCTCCTCACCCTGTGGCTGCTGCTGCTGTCACCTCTCCCTCGAGCTAAGCCCTTTCCCCACCACAGTGGGGTGAGCTCTGCTTGTTTCTGCTCTGTTCCAGACATCAGCATGATGGAAAACGACCCTGAATCAATAGGACACCACTTTGCATCCAACAGCAGTTCCGTGGCAGCTGCCATTCTTGTGCCTTTCATTGCCCTGATTATTGCAGGGTTTGTGCTTTATCTCTACAAACACAGGTGGGTTTGGGCACAGGGGGAATAAAGACCAGAAGGGGCAAGAAATTCAGGGGGGGCTGACAGAAAGATTGAGCTTCAAATCACCCTCCCTTAGGTCTGGTGAACCCAGAAGGTGAAACAATTAGGAAGAAACCACCCGTGGAGGGATGAGGGGTTGGGAGAGGAGAGCAGGGAAGGCTTCTCTGACCATTAATGAGATTTGTGGCCACATTAAGGAGGATAAAGCCAAGCAAATTTCATACTCCAGCCTTCAAGCTGGCTTTGCATATGTTGTGAGTTAGGATTTCCTCCCTGTTGCTGTGAGAGTGTTGCTGCTCTGCCAGGCAGATTTTCCTACAGATCCTTTCTTGCCTCATCCTCGGCGGTTGATCCTCCTCAAGAGCAGCATTTTCCTGCTGTGTTGTCCAGTTGACATCCACAGAGCTGTGACCTCTCTGCTTTGTCTCTCATGCTGGGCAGGAGAAGACCAAAAGTCCCTTTCAATGGCTATGCAGGCCATGAGAACACCAACGTCCGAGCGACCTTCGAGAACCCGATGTACGACCGGAACCTGCAGCCCACAGACATCATGGCCAACGAGACAGAGTTCACAGTCAGCACAGTGTGCACGGCTGTATAGCACCATCCCTGCCAGGGTGAGTGGGGCAGGGACACCCTGTCCTCCTGGGGCACTGCTGGAATCATGGAATCATCAACTGGTTGGCTTGGAAGGACCTTCAAGCTCGTGTGGTTCCACCCAGGGACACCTCCCACTAGCCCAGGTTGCTCCAAGCCCCATCTGATCTGGCCTGGAACACTCATGGAGCAGCCACAGCTGCTTTTCTTCTTTCTGTCAAGGTGTTCAGGCATTGGGATATTGCCCAGGGATATTGCCCAGGCACTTAGTGCCATGGTCTAGTGACCATGGGAGGGTTGGACTCGATGATCTTGGAGGTCTCTTCCAACCTGGTTGATTCTGTGATTCTGGGATTAAGATGAGACTGGATGTGGCACTTAGTGCCATGGTCTAGTGACCACCATGGTTAGACTTGATGATTCCAGGGTGGAGTCACCAGCCCTGGAGGTGTTTAAGATCACTGGAAGGTTTAGGGTTTACACCAGAGTGGCAGGTTAATGGTTGGACTTGATCTTAGAGGTCTCTTCCAACTTTGAAGATTCCATGATTCCCTGGGCTGGTGAAGGGACTGGAGCACAAGTGCCATGAGGAGAGGCTGAGGGAGCTGGGGATGTTCAGCCTGGAGAAGAGGAGGCTCAGGGGAGACCTTAGCACCCTCTGCAACTCCCTGCCAGGAGGTTGGAGTCAGGTGGGGGTTGGTCTCTTCTCCCAGGACAAGAGGGCACAGACTCAAGCTCTGCCAGGGGAGGGTTAGGTTGGATATTAGGAAGAGATTTTTTCCAGAGAGAGTGCTCAGGCATTGGAATGTGCTGCCCAGGGAGGTGGTGGATTCACCATCCCTGGAGGTTTTCAAGCTGAGACTGGATGTGGCACTTAGTGCCATGGGCTAGTGACCACGGGAGGGTTGGACTTGGTGATCTTTGGAGTCTTTTCCAACCTGGTTGATTCTATGATTCTATGGAACTGTGCCAGTGCCTGAGCACCCTCACAGGGAAGAATTCCTTCCCCATATCCCATCTAACCTTCCCTCTGCAGTCTGATCAGAGCAGTGAGCCAAAGGAGCCCCCAGAGTGGTTCAGACCGCCCAAGGTTCTTGGGGTGTCCTATGCAGGGCCAAAAGTTGAACTTGGTGATCGTTTGAGTCCTTTCCAGCTCAGGATGTTCTAGTTCTAAGAGTTGATCTCTGCCTGTGGTCAGAGCCAAACCAGCATCTCCATCTCTGGTCTCAGGTGCTGCTTGGGGTGTGACCTCTTGAGGACCAAGGAGGTCACAGTAGATCTGTGGTGAGAACAACCCAAAGGTGGAGAAAAAAATGTGTCTCCCAGAGGAGAGAGAGTCACCCCTCCTGGGTGACTCCAGACAGGAGTTTTGCACAGAGATCTGGGGTCTAAAAGTTGTAGTAGAAGGAGAAATCACTTCATGTCATAACCCCAAGTACTTTGTGGAGTCCTTCCAGCCTGGAATGTTCTTAGTTTGAGATAACAGAGCCCTTGAGGTTTTCCCAGCATTTCTGTGTGTAATAATCAACTGTTTCCTCTTCCCAGATCCCTCCAGGGTCGGTGTCTAGTGGATGATTGTGTTCCACCTCACCAGTCTCCATCCATCCCCTCCCCATCTCCCTCCTCCCAACCTTGCTGAGGCTGTGGAGAAGCTGCTGCACCTCGTGGGACCGTGTGCCAACTCCTGAGGGCACTGCTGGGTTATCTCTGTGTCCTCCCCAGCCGGGATCCACCTCCTCCAGCCGACGGTGGATCACGCAGCCAACCAAAGTTCTACTCCAGCACAGCTCCTCCTTCCCACCCAGCCCAGCCCCAGCACCTGGCGAGAGGTGATGGGAAGGCTCTCCCAAGCTGCTCCTGGTGCTGTGTCCTGGAGGGAGCAGTGAGGTGTGTTGGGTCCCACCAACGTTGGGAAGAGCTTGGGCAACAAAGCAGGTCATGCAGAGGTGTTGGTTGATGGAGAACATCTGTATGGGCCAGGACAAGGACTTGTTTGGGTTTGTGGGTTAGTCATGTATTGTTTTCTCTACCTTCTGCACAGGGAGAGTTTCCAGTTAGGACCTTTCCAATGGGAAGGTTTTTTTAACTCCTCTTCCCTGTGTTGAATTTCCCATTTTTTGCTGCATTTCTTCTGCCCTGTGCTCATTCCTGCAGCTCCCAGGGCTGGGGAAGGAACATCCTCTTTGCAAAGAGCTCTGACAAACACTGATTTCCCCCCCTAAAAAGCCCTTTGCCCTTTCCGTATCGATCCTCCAAATGGCACCGCAATAAGAGGTTGAATTTCTCTCCAAATTTCTGCTCCTTTAATTTCCCAAGGGGCCCAGAGGTTGCCTTGGCTTTGGTGGGAGCAGCTTGACATTTTCTCTGCCTTGGAAGAGAAGGATGTGGTGGCTCTGTCCTGCTCTAAAAGCAGCAGAGCTGCTGCTGTTGGTCCAAGCTTTGAGCCTGTTTGGTTGGTATCAGTGGCTTTGGGGCCAGGGAGGGGCAGAAGTGTCATTTCCCTGGTGGAAATGAAACCCAACTGAGGTGGAGCAGCCCCTGAGGAAACTTCTTCTTACAGAAGACTGGAAGGGAAATCAGGATGAAACCCTTGGGGTGCTGTTTACATCCATCCTCCCCTTTCAGCAACTAATTTTTCCCCTCCCTGACATCAGCTGAGGGTTTTGCCTAATGAAAACCACAGGGTAGGTTTGGGTTGGGATCTTTCTTTTTTTTTTTTTTTTTAAATTCTTCTGGTTTGTCAATTCTTTTACTCTGCGTGTTGGTTGTGTACATATATATCTATAAATATATCTTATTTTTTTTACCTTCTGTCTCTTCTTCTGAGAGCAAAAGCAGCATTTTCCCAGCCTGGAGGGCTGAGCAGCTGCCAACAGATGCCACTTCTGCTGCCCAAAGGTCCATCCCTGAGGGTTGTGGGGCATTGGGGCAGCATGGACAGGGGTCAAGGAGGTCGTGCCCAGGTGGTTTGAGCACCCAGAGGGCTCAGGGCAGTGCTGGGCCGTGTCCTGCAGCAAGATGTGCTCCAAGGGCACTTAGAGTGGAGAAATTTGGGGGCTAAGTTGGCTCTCTGTCCTTCTTGGGGCACCTCCAGCTTGCAGGACATGGCCCCAGAGGGAAGTGAAGGAGAATCCAAGCAGTGTTGGTACTCAACTCTGGGGCCAAGCCATGTCCTCCCTCCACCAGCTGAGCAACCACACTTAGTGCCATGGTCTTGGCACTTGGTGCCATGGTCTAGTGACCATGGGAGGGTTGGATTTGATGATTTTGGAAGTCTCTTCCAACCAGGTTGGTTGATTCTAGGATTCTATAGAATCTCTGGTGGAAGGAGACTGGGATGTTCCCTTAGATGCCACCTACAGCCAAGAGCTTCTTCCCACCCTCAGGGCAGCTCTCCATGCCCCACTTAAACCCAAAGTCCAACCCAACCCAACCTCTCCTGTGCTTTGTGCCCTTGGCCAGCCCCAAAGGCAGCAGCACCATGTGCTCCTCCTGCTGCTCCAGCACCACCACAGTGTCCTGGTTCTTCTTCCAGTGCCCCAAACCCCTTTGTGCCAACAAATCCTGCAGGTTCCTGGCACTGAGCTCCAGGGAAAAAAACCCTCTCCTGGCTGGGAAGGAGCTGAGCCAGTCAGAGCTCCAGGGACACACACAAACGCACACAACAGTTGCTTCCCACACCTTGCTGAGTCCTCAATCCATGGAATTTTCTGGAGAAACTCCTGGCAAGGTGTGTAAAATAGAGAGAAGGTGTTCCAAGAACCAAGAAGGGAGAGGAGAAGCTCTACCCAAACAAACCTTGCTGCTTTTCCCCCACTCAAATCCCTTTTCCTGCTCTTGCCCAAGTAGCAAAAGAAGTGGCAGGGGGGTTATCCCACTTTTTTTTTTTTTTTTTTTTTTTTTTTGAGGAAGTTATCTGGGCCCCAACATCCTCCATCCCTATGCCCAGAGGACATGCATTATGGTTAAAAAAAAAGAAAATAAACTGATGAAAAATGTACAAAAAAAAAAGGTAAAAAAGGTAAAAGCGAAGACAAAAAAAAAAAAGAAGACAAAAAAAATAAAGCAAAACTCCTTTTGTACAGAGATATATTTTTATGACTCCGAGTTTGTACAGTTCCGAAACACAATGTAAATGGGTTTTTTTCATTATTGTAGTAAAGAGGTAGTGGCAAGATCAGCTTTTTTTTGTAAGTGTAATAAAGTGTATAAATCTGGTTTCCATCCAGGTGTACATATGTAATCTAAACATCCACCTTGGCTTGGCTGCAGTACAGACCTTAATTTATCTGTCTCTGTATATGAGGCTTTTCCCCTTGTGTTCCACAACCCTTTGCTGATATTTCAGAGCTATTTTCAATTTTGGACTTCCAATAAAAGATCAATTTTTTGCATTGCTTTTTCTTAGCTTTTTTTTTTTATTGTTGTTGCCTCCTGCCTTTTTTTTTTTTTTTTTTCAAACACATGTCAGAAAATCCTGGGAATGCTAAACACACAGAGTGGTGTGTGCACCATGGGTGGTAGAACCAACCCTGAACCTTCAGGTGGAGCTTCCTGAGCTTCCAACTGCTTGGAGAGACATCCCAGTGCTCAGGAAGGATGGAAAGAAAGGATTCAGGCAAGGCCAACGATTTTCCCCATCCCAAGGAGGTGTGGGACAGGATTCTGCCCCATCTACTCTGGTGAGATCCCACCTGGAGTTCTGCTCCCAGTTCTGGTGTCCTCAACATCACAAGGACATGGAACTGTTGGAGCAAGTCCAGAGGAGGCTACAAATCTCCTTAGGCAATTGGAGAACCTTTCCTAGGAGAGAGTTGGGGTTCTTCAACCTGGAGATCTTCTCCAGGTTGTGTGGAGACCTCAGAAGACCTTCCAGGAGCTGAAGAGTCTCCAAGGAATCTGCAAAGGGACTTGGTTAGGAACTACAGGGACAGGACAAGGAGTAATGAGGAGAAATTGAAAGAGAGAAGGTTAGGT